ATTTGTTATTCAGCTATATAACATACTCGTACATTCAATGTACTGATGTCATTCAACCTACATCTTTCAATAATGCAGATACAGGTTCTTAGGATCCTCAACAAGAGTTCATTGAGATTACATTATCTCCTCATCAGCTTTTAAGTAAGACCTCCTTACTTTTGGAGGACTCAGTTTTATGAGTTGTTAGTAGTAGTTCCCTTGAGGAGTCGTTATTCTTGTTCAGCACTCATCTTTGTATTGTAGAGGCTTCATAGATAGACGGTTTTGGAGAGTCTTTCAGTTTCAAATATTTTATTTAAAATTTATGTTTCATACTTAGTATATTCAGCAAAGTGTTGAGATTCAGTAAACTATTTTTAAACATTTCATTCAACTTGATGCTTATGTATACTTGAATTAGTCTTCCATTTGTAGTCATTCAGAATTAGCATTCACTTGGGGACCAGCAATGGTTCTCGAATGTCGGCCACAACCAGGGTGTAGGCTTGGGGCATGACAATAGCAATGCCCTTGTGATCATTCCAACTTTAGATGAAGTAAAAATGTAGTTTTTTCAATGAATGTGAGTGGTGCTTCTTGGCCAGATGGAATCACAAGTAAATTATTTCAACACTTCTGGAATATTATTGTTCTAGATCTTTAAACTATTATTTAGAATTCTTCAATGGAAGCACCTTCTCCGGTCATTTTCTCACTCTTCGTATGTATTGATTCCTAAGATTGATTGCCCTCAAGAATTTCTTGATTCTATACCAATTTTTCTTAGTAACGTCATTAAAAAGATCATTTCTAAATTGCTTAATAATTGACTTACTCCCCTTATGAGCAAGATCATCTCCCATAATCAGTCAGGTTTCATGACGAATAGATTTATTGTTGATAATATAATCCTTACTCAAGAACTTGTTCATAATATGAAAAGGCCTAATGTTAATGGTAATGTCATTTTTAAATTGGATATGGTAAAAGCTTTTGATAGGGTCTCCTGGAAGTATCTTTGTCAAGTCCTGAGACACTTTGTCTTTTCTGAAATGGATTGACTTAATTCAGAGATTAACTTCCAATAATTGGTATTATATAAATATTAATGGAGTTAGACATGGATTTCTTAAATCCAGTAGGGGATTAAAACAAGGTAATCCTCTCTCTCCTTCTCTCTTTATTATTGGCGCTGAACTTCTTTCTAGAATGATGCATCATCTTCCTATGGATAACTTCATTCCTTTTTCTGCAGATACATGGTCTCAAATGATAACACATCTTAGTTTTGTGGATGATACCATCCTCTTCTCATCTGGTGATATAGTTTCCATTTCTATGATAATAAAGAAGCTTGAGCTTTATGAATTAGTCTCTCGCCAACTTGTTAATACAATAAAATCTTCCTTTTTGGTTTCTCCTAATACTCTCATGGGAATCATTGATGATATTAGACTCATTACTGGTAACTCCCAATCCCATTTGCCCTTTACTTACCTTGCTTGCCCTATATTTTTGGGGAGAAAAAAGATTGAATACTTCGGTAATATGGTTGCCAAAATTATTAAAAGGATTCAAGGGTGGCAGGGTAAAATGTTATCTTTTGGAGGAAGGGTTGTCCTTATTAAATTTGATCTTCATTCCCTTCCCTTGCATATCATTTTTGTTGTTTATCCTCCTAAAACCACTATTGATATTATTGAAAAAGCTTTTGTTAATTTCTTTTGGGGTAGCTCTAATGATAAGAATAGTTATCATTGGATTAAATGGAAAAATCTTTGTTATACCAAAATGAAAGTGGAGTGGGATTTAGATCTATTCATGATACATGTGTCTCTTTTTCCGTCAAACCATGGTGGACTTTTAGAACTTATGATTCTATTTTGAAAATGCAAAGTATTATAAAAGATATCACCCCATTGCAGAAAAAAAAAATATAGGCAATCTAATCACTGGAAAAGGCTAAAGGGTATCAAGAATGAAGTTGAGCAACATATATTTTGGAAACTTGGCAAGGGCAACTTGTGATTTTGGTATGAAAAATGGACCAACAAAGGATCTTTGACAAACATCGTCCAGCAAGGAAATAAACCTATGAAGATTTAAGTCTTTGATTTCATTAATCAAAATCAATGGAACTTGACAAAGCTCAACATTGTTTTGCCTGTTAATATAATCTTTAAGGTTAATGATATCAATTTTGATCTTCACAATGTTGATTATCATATTTGGCTCCCTGACCACTCAGGCTTATTCTCTAGCAAGTTTGCATAACAAGATATCAGGAAATCCAGACCAATTCTTTGACAAGCAGGATGACATGGCACAACAAAATTCCTTTCAAAGTTTCATTCTTGATGCTTAGGTTACTTAAAAGTAAATTAGATATTTATGAAGCGCTTTGAATATTTAAGGTTCATGGACCCTCAAAATGTTATTGTTGTACAAAGGGGGCCAATGAAACTATAAATCATTTGTTTGGAGTTGTAGACGTTGCATGTATGCTTTGGAAATATTTCTCTAATATTTGTGGAATCCTTCACAACTCTAATGAGAATGTCAGGGGTAAGATTATTAGACGGTGGTTGATCAAACATATCAACAAAGTTCATGAACTCCTTCTCCAGAGTCTTCCATCTATTAATTGTTAGAAAACTTGGAAATATAGGTGCACTTTAAAACATGAGGGTGCTAGAATTCCTATTCCTAGAATCATTGATCACATCTTCAACCTCCTCTATTTGATTATTAATTCTCAATTTCCAGAGCTTCCACTTTCACCTTCTATTATTAGTATCTCTCATTTCACATATCACATAACACCAAATCTAGAAATTAAATTGGTGAAGTGGAAGAGACCAAACTATAATGAGCTAAACTGAATGTGGATGGCTGTAATAAAGGAAATCCCGGAAGTGTTGGAGGTGGAGGTGTTCTAAGGAACCATGTTGGATCAATGATTATGGCTTTTAATTCCTATTTTGGGTTTTGCTCAAATAATTCGTTGAGGCTCTAGCTCTAAAGATTTTCCTAAAATGGTGTCTATATTATGGTTTTCACAGAGTTACTATTGAGTCTGACTCCCTCTTGATTATTCAGATGGTTAAAGGTAATATCAAACTCTTTTGTCATATCAAAGATGATATTAAACACATTCAATCCATGAGTTCACTTAGTGACTAATCTTTCATTCACACCTTCAGAGAAAGTAACACTACAACTGATTTGCTCACGAATATTGATGAACATTGCAAAACAACTACCTTTTTCACCGAGGCTATAAATTTTCCTTCTAAGACTACATCCACCTTGAAGAATGATGTAGTTGTCAAGCCCAACATTAGAATTTGAGTGAAGAAGGGAAACTTCATATTCGACCCTGGTTAAATTTTGTTTGGTTGCTTTTAGTTGTATGAATTATGGAATTTTTTGTAAGCTTATGTGATGAGGAGCAACCCTCCTTCTTTTTCTTTCCTTTTATTTTGGTAAGTTAGAGAGTAAGGATGTGTCCTCACTCCTAGTTCTGTAATATGGAGGTCAAGTTTCAATCCCCCCCCCCATGCTCCTTTGGCTTATATATTAAATCCCCTTTGAGGGAACCTTCGTCAAAAAAATTTAGTTGTTATTATCATTGGTTAATATTATCGCATAGAAATGGTGTTATTTGTTTTTTGCCTCTACTATGCTATGCTTTTTCTCGACTTATTAAATACAAAATCTATTTATTTTTCAAAAAAAATATTTTCCTTCTACCAAACAAACCGTATATGTTCCCTCAATTTTCACCTTTATTTTATCCTTAGAAAAGTACAATCCTTCTTCAACCTTAAAGTGTTCCCTATTTTCTTAGTACTCTGTTGCGGAAGAAATTTTAATAAAAGTAGTCACTAAAGTGGATTTTTTTTATTTTATCAAAATAAGTTATTATTTAAATCAATTCATCAAAATAGTACATTTTAAATTTTTTTTACAAAATTAGTATAAACGTGTTTCACAATAATGTTACTGTTAATAACATTAAACAATTTGTTTCCCTGAAGCATGTTTTACAGCTAATTATAGAACTGGACCACTAGGATTTCTCTTGAAGCCCAAGGTTATTGATTTTATCAACAATATCTTCAGCTTGGAGCAAGAACTAAACCACTAGGCTTTCTCGAAACTCAACGAATCAGTTCTCATTCTCCTCAATCGCTTCCTTAGTTGGGTTCTCCTTTTCCTAAAAAATGGTATCCATTGAAATGGTGTTGAATGCTTGTTGAATCAATTATTATTGAATGAGTTGAAATTTATTGATGCCATGAATGAAAAAATGGAAATCTTAGAAATTGAAGTTTAGGGTTTATGGGATTTGAGGTTTTAGATGGATATGGAGGAACAAAGTATTTGAAAAAGGTGGAGATAGACGACCACGGCTGCTTATACATGATGAATATATCAATTTTTATTGAAATATTCAGGAATTTGGATGAGCGATTTTAGATATGAACGATATAGTAGTAATGGAATAGTTGTTAGACAAACGATTTCTTTTGATTGTTGATTTGAGTTTCATGATTATTTGTTGCAATTACGATAACTGACTGGAACTATTTAATCTTCGACAAGTAATTTTGTGAAATCAAAATAAATAATGAAGGAGGAGGAAGAGGAGAAATGGAGTATCATTGTCTGTTTTATCAATGATTGTGGCATTCCGATATGAACTTGCATTGATACTACATCCTCAAATAATTTATAAAGAAGCGCTCATCTCTGTAATAGTAATATATGAAGTAAATCACAACTTTAGTTTCAAGGTACAAAAATCTGATAAAAAAAGGTATTGGATTAGTTATTTTTTATTGTGAATTAGTATTTTTAGTTTTATGATACATAAGTCGTGATATATTATTATTTCTAAGATATTCAGTGAGTTTGTAATTGATATTTTGATACAATTTAAATTTTTAATGTATCATGAAAATTATCGGTGGCATTTGAAGAAGAAGAAGAAGAAATGATTAAAGATTTTTGAAATGGAGTTTGATATAAGACTCATTAATCGATGTTCAAAAGAACATGAGAAGATCTATCAACAATGGTTCAATTTTGTTGATTCTGGTAAATTTTTTTAGTTTTTTTGTTCAAATAAGAGCAAAAAGAAATGGTATTTTTATGATGGGGTTGTTAATTTGGTATAGATGGAGATGGATGTCTTACTGGTGGAGATGCCACCAAGTTTTTAGTCATGTCCAATTTGCCTCGATCAGACCTCAAGCAGGTTCTTTTCTATTTTGTCATGTTTGTCAATACTTGAACATTTAGAAAACTTTTATTAGTCTTTCTTTGGAAACACCAAAAAATGATTTTTCATTTAATGTATCATTGACTTATTTAATATTTGCAGGTTGCTGCATCTATGAATCTCAAAGAAGATACATTGTTAGCCTTAAGTGAAAAATATGTAATTGTGAGAGATTTCAACTAGACAAAATATCTTGTGCACACACAAATGTTGTTTTGAAGAGCAAGAATATTACAGATATACATCACCACTGCTCTGATTACTACATTGTAGTGAATACGTATCAGATACATTGATACATAAATCTCACTGCTACTTTAGATATTAATTACTATGATTCACGATAGTTTGTAATATTACATTCTATACCATATTTTGGCAGCCAGATACATGTATCATTAAAGGCGAGATACATGTATCCAGCCATTTTAAAAGTAAAGATACACGAGTTGTTGTGGACGTTGTGGACAAGAAGGACACAACCATAGGACTTGTACTTTTTTTACCAAAGGAAAGTGAATCATTAAATTTATATAAGACATTCATGTTCATGTTGACTAATTTTTCAATTATATGGATTTTGAATTTTTATATTTCTATAAAGTAGCTTGAATTGTTAACCATGTGAAGTATTGATACAATAGATGTAAGTTTTGCTATTTTGTATTAAAAAAATTAGTTTAATTTTTTGTGTGAATAATGTATTTGATACATAATTAACTTATATGAATCTATATGCATTGATAAGACTCATATCCAAGTTATCTAATAATAAATAACTTATGTGAATCTGTTTCATAATTATGTAATTTATATGCATTGATAAGACTCATATCTAATATATCATATACATTAAGTGAAAGATTGATAATGTGTTTTTATACTTTCCTTTTGTATCATGTTCAAATGGTGGGAAACACCATATACACATAATGTGTCAAACAAACACCATTTTCCTTTTCTACAATTGATTAAAATTAGTTATGAATCTGATACTAATGTTTCTAAACTTTAAATGAATAACGTGAAAGATTTAAGTATTTGTGTTATGTATCAACAACACTATAATTAAAACACAAAATATAAGAATTTACATGATATAATCAATAACAAAAAATATTCAAATTCAAAAATGACATGGAACAGTTTTTACAGTAACACTCTAAAGCACAAGTAAAATTTTCATTAAAAGAAAAACAAAACATCAAAAGGTGTTTATTAATTGATAGATAATCACTATTTGACATGAACCAATTGTAACATCCCGCTTTAGAAAGAACTAGAATTATAAAGAAACCGTTTTTGCAAATAATCAAATTTGGAAAGTTTGATCCAAGTTAAGCTAAGTATGAGTTTTGGGTCAACTTTTAATGACTATAACTCCTATATCATAATGTGTCAGGTATTCTACAAGATACCGTAGTAAATATCTTTGAATTATCTTTCCAACGCCGCCGAGTTTGCTCAATTTCGAGTTCGTATGAGGGATATATACCCATTTGAAGTTGGGTTGTCTAGATAAGGAAAGTCAAAATCAGATTTTAGAAGGGTATTATGGTCTTTTCATTACCCCAATCAATTAAATTTGGTTTTGGTAATTAAGTTGGGGTCTAAACTGATTGAATTTAGTTTACACCTTATCAAAATAAGTTAGGGTTTTGAGACAAGAGAAAAGAAGAGGAGAAAAGAGAAGAAAAATCAAGGAATCGCCAAGTTCTTGAAGTTTTGCTTGAGGATTTCACCTAGGGTTGATCCCTACGAGGTATGTGAGATCACATAGCACTGGGTTCGTTCACCCACGCGCCAATCATGATTTAATTCAGCGAAAGTATGTTCTTGAAAGTTTAGAAATTGAGTTTTTGATTCATTGAAATTGTTGAGGAGTTATTGATTCAAATTCATAAATATTGATGTTGAGTTGAGTAGATTATTGCATATTTTTGTTGTGTAGTCGAATCTAAGTGTTAGGAGCAAGAACCAATTGAATCTAAAGGGTTTAGAGTTGAAAAACAAGCAAGAAAATTTGGGAATTTCTAGGCAGGGGTTTGGGGCGTCGCGCTAGCCAGAGCACCCCACTTTGGGGTCTGTAGTTTGGGCTCTGGGGCACCATGCCAGCCACTGCGCCCCAACCCAGGTTCTGTAGTTTTCCCTCTGGCGCCCCGCGCCACTCAGAGGGCTAAGGACGTCAGGTCTTCTATCATTTCCCACTTCTTTCCGTACGAGTTCCCTTGAAATGTACCTATGTATTCTAGTTGATTTCTACACTCTAAGGTACGTCTAAACAACATGAAATCATCCATAACATGAGATCATGAGCTTTGAATCCATAATTCAATTCAAGAAAAGTTAAGAGTCAAGTCAAGAGAAGTTCACAGATTTTTCTAAAAGTCTTTTACAAATGTTTTAACTTTGTTTTGAGACTTAAGTTTTGAGTTGAGTAAAGAGTAAAGATTGAAGTTCATTTCTTCAAAAGAGTATATGGGGACTATGTATTCCCAAAGAGTAAAATGTTTTCACATTTAAACAAAAAAGGGAACTGAGATTTCCAAAGGAGCCTTTGAGCTAGTTTTCAGTAAAGAGTTAATGCTTTCACAATTAAGCAAGAGAGGAAACAAAGATTCCAAGAGAGACTTTGGGCATGTTTTTGAGTAATTATCTCAAACCACATATTTATGTTTTTAAACATAAGATCTAGTTATATTTTGGGAGTAGTATTGAGCACCGATATGGGAGAAAGTTCAGACAACTCCCAACCCCCATAAATCATGTAGCCATCATGGGTAGAAAAGGGTCATACTTTTTTGATGATTCTTTAGTGCTTTTTAGCATAGACTAGTGGATCCACTTAGTAGTCATGTTCTATACCCTCGGCAAGGTATAGGAATGCCCTGCCAATTTGATGTAAAATGATATATCATCACAATAGCTCTTAAGTGATGGTTGTCGGTTAGAGAAACTCCCACAGAAGTATTTTGTATTATTATATACACAGAATCACTTGTATTTTTATATACATATAGAGTTTATATTGTATCTTTGCATACATACAAAGTTACTATTGTATTTTTAAATACACAGAGTTGTTATCCATGTTCAAAGCTTTCTTTATACTGCACTTATTTATACTGCTTTATATTGAAATAAGATCAGTTGAGTTGAGTTGAGACCAAGTTTTTTCTTTCAGTTCCTTTCAAGCTTATGTCTTGTTTTAGAATTCCCCTCGCATGCTCGTACATTTGATGTACTGATGCCTTTTGGTATACATCATTTTATGAAGTAGATACAGGTAACGACGATCAACACCCAGTCCTTTGTTGATCCAGTTGAGCATTCAGAGTCTTTTGGTGAGCCTCCTTGCTTTTCGAAGGACCCCTTTTATTGATTTTAGTATTTTAGTTCATTAGGATGTTGTGGGTCTTGTCCTGTCGTCCATCTCAGTGATTTAGAGGCTTTATAGACAGTAGTTGATGTTAGTTCTTGAGTCTTTCCATTTCAGTTATGTTTGAGACTTGAGTTGCCACTTTTGCTAGTGAATATTTATTTTAATTCATTCTAAGTTATCTATTGAGCAATTCAGTTTACTTTTAAAGTATTTTTATCATGAGTAAGTCTTCCGCTAAGAGTTAAGTCAGGCCAAGGGTTCGCTTGGGGTGAGCAATGGTTCTCGAGTGCCAGTCCCGCCTAGGGTATAGGCTCGGGGCCTAACAAACTTGGTATCACAACACAGATTTCAAGAGTCCTAGGGAGTCTATGAAGTCGTGTCTGTAGAGTCCTAGTTAACGGTGTGAAGCATGCCACATCTATGATTAGGAGGTTACGACACTTAGGAACTATCTCATTTCTTCCATATTCACTTTGTGTGATAGAGTTAATCTCTATAAAGTTTCTTCTAACTTGTGCTTGCACTTATATTTCATATCATACCTCCACGAAGAGTTGTCAGAGGTCTTCCTACTAGAAGGAATGTTGACCCACAGGAACAAGGAGTACCTAATTCACCAGAAGTGCAACCTCAAGGAGAGGTCACAAATGTTGAATTCTGTGAAGCTATTCGGATATTAAGTCATGATGTGACAAATCAAGTGGGACAAAGGAAGAATCGTCAGGAAGGGGATGATACCTCAATGATCCGTGAGTTCTTGGGGATGAATCCTCCAAGCTTTACTGGTTCAAGTGTTACTAAGGACCTAGAAAACTTTGTTGAGGAGCTTCGGAAGGTTTTTGAGATTATGCGTATTGATGATACTGAGAGGGTGGAACTAGTTGCATACCAAATGAAGGGTGTCTCTAGAATTTGGTTTGATCAATGGAAAAAGAATCGAGTTGAGGGTGCACCACTTGTGACTTGGGCTTTGTTTCAGGATGCCTTCTTGGGGCGTTTCTTTCCTCGAGAATTGAGAGAACCAAAGTATGAGAGTTCCTCACTCTTAAGCAGGATTCTTTAAGTGTGCATGAGTACAGTCTGAAGTTCACATAACTTTATCGCTATGCTCCGGAGATGGTTGCTGACATGAGAAGTAGGATGACTTTGTTTGTTGATGGGTTGTCTCGTCTGTCTAGTAGGGAAGGCAGAGCAGCTATGCTGATAGGAGATATGGACATAGCAAGACTGATGATCCATGTGCAACAGGTTGAGGAAGAGAAGCTCAAGGATAGAGATGAGTTTCGAAATAAGAGAGCTAAGACAGGAAACGAGTCCGGGAAGCAGAAGAGTAATGTCAAGCAGTCATCTTCCCAACAAAAACAAAAGGGACCTGCTCCATCATCTGCTAGTGCACCTACACAAAGGAACAAAGGTGAGTACAATAGTCAAAATTCATAGAATTTGAGAGCTAGACCTACCCATTCTCAAGGTAGTATAGCACAAGGGGGTAGTAAGCCTCCTGCATGTGCTAAGTGTGGTATGAGCCACTCAGGGATGTGTGGTGATGGTTCCACTAGTTGCTTCAAGTGTGGCCAGAAAAGTCATTTTATGAGAGAATTTCCTAAGAACATGTAGGGAAACGGTAATGGGGGCAATAGGGCCCACTCTTCTTCAGTTTCTCCACCAGACAGAGTTGCATCTAGAGGAGCCACTTCAGGGGTAGGCAGAGGAGGAAACCGTTTTTATGCTATCACAAGTCGCCAAGAGCAAGAGGATTCGCCAGATGTTGTCAGTGGTATGATTCAACTCTTTAAATTTGATGTTTATGTTTTGCTAGAGCCATGAGCGAATTTATCCTTTGTACCTACATATGTTGCAATGAATTTTGATGTTCTTCTTGGGAAACTTAGTGATCCCTTCAGTGTTTCTACACTTGTTGGTGAGTCTATTCTAGCAAAGAGACTCTATCATGATTGTAGCATTTTCGTCAATCACAAGGGCACCATGGCTGATTTAGTTGAGTTAGACATGGTAGATTTTGATGTTATTCTTGGTATGGACTGGATTCATGCCTGTTATGCCTCATTTGTTTGTAAAATTCAAGTTGTCTAGTTCCAGTTTCCTAATGAGCCAGTTATAGAGTGGAAAAGTAGTTCAGTAGTGCCTAAGGGTCATTTTATTTTGTAACTTAAGGCAAGAAATTTATTTTCCAAGGGGTGTGTCTATCACATAGTCCGAGTTAATGACTCTAGTCTTGACATACCTCCTATTCAGTCAGTTCCAGTAGTAAAAGAGTTTCCAAAAGTCTTTCCAAATGATCTTCATGGAGTCCCTCTTGAGAGAGAAATAGACTTCGATATAGATATTCTTCCTGATACTCATCCTATATCTATTCCGCCAAATAGGATAGCACTAGTAGAGTTAAAAGAGTTAAAAGAGCAGTTGAAAGATCTCCTAGAGAAAGGTTTTATCCGACCAAGTGTCTCACCTTAGGGCGCTCCGATCTTAATTGTGAGGAAGAAGGATGGTTCCCTTCGGATGTGTATAGAATACCATCAATTGAACAAGGTTACCATCAAGAATAAGTATCCTCTTCCGAGAATTGATGATATCTTTGATCAACTTCAAGGTGCCACTTGTTTCTCTAAGATAGACCTCACAGCTGGCTACCATCAGCTAAGAGTAAGGGAATGTGATATTCCAAAGACAACTTTCAGGACCTGTTATGGTCATTATAAATTTCTGGTCATGTCATTCATTTTAACTAATGCCCATGCAGCGTTCATGGACCTTATGAATAGAGTTTTCAAGCCTTATTTAGATATGTTTGTTATTGTGTTCATTGATGACATTCTAATCTATTCGAGAAATGAGGAAGATCATTTTAGCCATCTCAAATTAGTTCTCCAAACTTTAAAGGATAGAGAGTTGTATGCTAAGTTCTCTAAATGTGAGTTTTGGCTTGAGTTTATGGCATTCCGAGGCCACATTTTTCCGATGATGGAATCAAAGTTGACACTCAGAAGATAGAGGCAATGTAGAATTGGCCTAGACCACATCTCCAACTGATATTAGGAGTTTCTTAGGGTTGGCTAGATATTATAAAAGGTTCATAGAGGGGTTCTCATCTATTTCATCCCATTTGACCAAGTTAACTTAGAAAATAGTTAAGTTTCAATGGTTGTGAGAAAAGCTTTCAGGAATTGGAAAAGAGGTTGACTACTGCCCAGTATTGACTTTACCAGAAGGTATGCAAGGCTTTGTTGTATATTGTGATGCGTCTAGAGTTGGTTTGGGTTGTGTGTTAATGCAAAATGGCAAAGTTATAGCTTATGCCTCCAGACAATTGAAAGTTCACGAGAAGAATTACCCAACCCATGATCTAGAGTTGGTTGTCATAGTATTTGCTTTGAAAATATGGCGTCACTATCTTTGTGGTGTTCATGTAAATGTGTGAACCGATCACAAGAGCCTTCAGTATGTGTTTAGTCAGAAAGAGCTTAATCTCAGACAGAGGAGGTGGTTAGAGTTACTCAAGGATTATGATATGAGTATCCTCTATCACCCCAAGTAAGGCTAATGTTGTTGTTGATGCCTTGAGCTGGTTGTTTATGGGTAGTACCGCCCATATTGAGGAAGAGAAGAAAGAACTAGTAAAATATGTGCATAGACTTGCATGATTGGGAGTTCTCCTAATGGATTCCACAAAAGGAGGGGTAGTGGCTATGAATGGGGCTGAATCATCATTAGTGTCAGAAGTGAAAGAAAAGCAAGATCAAGATCCTATTTTTCTTGAATTGAAGGTAAATGTTCATAAGAAAAAAGTTATGACTTTTGAACAAAGGGGAGATAGTGTATTGAGGTACCAAGGTAGATTGTGTGTACCAAGGGTGGATGAACTCCAAGAAAGGATTATGGGGGAAGATCATATCTCTAGATATTATATCCATCTGGGTTCCATAAAGATGTATCAAGACTTGAGAGTAGTATATTGGTGGAATGGTATGAAGAAAGGTATTATTGAGTTCGTTGTTAAGTCCCCGAATTGTCAACAAGTGAAAGTAGAGCACCAAAGGCCCGGTGGTATGGCTCAGAATATAGAACCTCCGGAATGGAAGAGGGAGATGATCAATATGGATTTCATTATTGGGTTTCCACGCTCTCGCATGCAATATTATTCTATTTGGGTGATTGTTGATCGAATGACAAAATCAGCCAACCTTTTGCCGGTAAAGAGTACCCATTCAGCAGAAGACTATGCCAAGTTACACATTCAAGAGGTAGTAAGACTTCATGGAGTTCCAGTTTCCATAATTTCAGATAGAGGTGCACAATTTACTGCGCAGTTTTGGAAGTCATTCTAGAAAGGTTTAGGTTTAAAGGTGAACTTGAGTACTGCTTTTCATCCTCAGATAGATGGTCAAGCAGAGTGCACTATTCAGACTTTAGAATATATGTTGAGGGCTTGCGTGATTGATTTCAAAGGTAATTGGGATGATCAACTACCTCTCATTGAGTTTGCGTGTAACAATAGTTACCACTCTAGCAGTCAAATGGCTCCCTATGAAGCTCTTTATAGGAGAAGATGCAAATTTCCTATTGGATGGTTTGAAGTTTGTGAAGCTGGGTTGATAGGACCAGACTTAGTTCATCAAGCTATGAAGAAATTGAAAGTTATTCAAGAAAGGTTTAAAGCAGCGCAGAATCATCAGCAATCATATACTGATGTTAGGAGAAAGGAGTTAGAGTTTGAACTAGATGATTGGGTATACTTGAAAGTTTCACCCATGAAGGGTGTTATAAGATTTGGTAAGAATGGGAAACTTAGTCCCCGGTATATTGGCTCTTACAGAATATCCAAAAGGATTTGTAATGTAGCTTATGAGTTGGATCTACCACAAGAGTTAGCAGCGGTCCATCCGGTATTTCATATTTCCATGTTGAAGAAGTTCATGGGAGATCCTTCACTTATCATACCAACTGAAGATATTGGTATCAAAGATAGCTTGTCTTGTGAGGAGGTTCCTGCTCAAATTCTAGATTGTCAAGTTCACAAGTTGAGAACAAAAGAGGTAGCATCAGTCAAAGTTCTATGGAGAAATTGGGAAGCTGAGGGGGATATAAAGAAGAGATACCCACATCTATTCGAATCCAGAGAAGTTCCAAATTAAGGTACTAATCCTTTCTTGGCATTTATTTTAAGTTGACATGTTGTATTTACATTTTGCTTGTTGGGTGTTTGAGATATATGTTAAATGTTATGCCCTTAGCCTACTAAGAGTAATCTCATTCGAGAATGAATTTTCCCAACTGAGAGATATTATAACATCCCGCTTTATAAAGAACTAGAATTAGAAAGAAACTGTTTTTGGAAATAATCAAATTTGGAAAGTTTGATAAAGTTAAGCTAAGTATGAGTTTTGGGTCAACTTCTAACGACCATAAATCCTAGATCAGGATGAGTTATGTGTGCTACAAAACACTGTAGGAAATATCTTTGAATTATCTTTCTAACTGCGCTGAGTGTGCTCGATTTCGAGTTCGTATGAGAGATATATACACATTTGAAGTTGGGTTGTCTAGATAAGGAAAGTCAAAACTGGATTTTAGAAGGGTATTATGGTCTTTTCATTACCCAATTAATTAAATTCATTTTTGGTAATTAAGTTGGTGTCTAAACTGTTTGGATTCAATTTATGCTTTATCAAAATAAGTTAGGGTTTTGAGAGAAGAGAAAAGAGGAGGAAAAAAAATAAGAAGAAGCAAGGAATCGTCAAGTTCTTGAAGTTTGATTGAGGATTTCGCCAAGGGTTGATCCCTATGAGGTATGTGATATCACATAGCATTGGGTTCGTTCACCCACGTAACAATCATGATTTAATTCAGCGAAAGTATGTTCTTGAAAGTTTAGAAATTGAGTTCTTGATGGATTTTTGTTGAAGTTTTATTAAGTTCTTGATTCGTTGAAATTGTTGAGGAGTTGTCGATTCAAATTCACGAAAATTGATATTGAGTTGAGTAGATTCTTGCATATTTTTGTTGTGTAATCGAATCTTAGTGTTTGGGGAAAGAACCAATTGAATCTAGAGGGTTAAGAATTGAAAAACAAGTAAGAAAATTTGGGAATTTCTGGGGAGGGGTCTGGGGCGTTGCGCCAGCCAAAGCACCCCACTTTGGGGTCTTTAGTTTAGGCTCTGGACTCCGCGCCAGCTAGTGCGCCCCAACCCGAGTTCTGTAGTTTTCCCTCTGGCGCCCCACGCCACTCAGAGCGCCAGGGACGCCAGGTCTTCTACCCTTTCCCACTTCTTTCCGTACGAGTTTCCTTGAAACATACCTATGTTTTCTAGTTGATTTCTATACTCTAAGGTACATCTAAACAACACAAAATCATCTATAGCATAATATCATGAGCCTTTAATCCATAATTCAATTCAAAGAACGTTAAGAGTCAAGTCAAAAGAAGTTCATAGAGTTTTCCAAAAGTCTTTTACAAATGTTTTAACTTTGTTTTAAGACTTAAGTTTGGGTTGAGTAAAGAGTAAAGATTGAGGGTCATTTATTAAAAAAAGTATATGAGGACTATGTATTCCCAAAGAGTAAAATGTTATCATATTTAAACAAGAACGGAAACTGACATTTCCAAAGGAGCCTTTGAGCTAGTTTTCAGTAAAGAGTAAATGCTTTCACAATTAAGCAAGAGAGGAAACATTGATTTCCAAGAGAGGCTTTGGGAATGTTTTTGAGTAATTATCTCAAACCACAGAGTTATGTTTTTAAACATAAGAGCTAGTTATATTTTTGGAGTAGTATTGAGCACCGATATGGGGGAGAGTTCAGCTCGCAGC